GTGTTCATCACTGTTTTTCAATATTTGCTCACCATTGTGCCACGTCATCACTCAGCGAGATGTGTGAGCTTTTGCAAAATGCCCTTTCAGCACTAAACGCTGACGGCATGCTTTAGTTTATGGTGAATCTATAATTTGGATCCTTAAAAATACTCCCCCTGTACTTGTTAAATCTCCAAAATGGCCGACTGCCCTGTTAATAGTGACCTACTGTAAACTTGCATAACCTTTGCCTAGCGAGCGTACTGTCTTACAAGAGGCGTCCACTGCACACTTCTAACATTTCTTTAATCACATTTACAGATGTAATACTGTAATACTGCTGCGAGGACATGGGACAAGTGATACGACAGGGACCGGACAGGAGTGGAAATGTCTGCAGGCGCGTAGCAATTAAAACACTCTTAGGCTGTGTTAAGTTTCCAGTTTTGCCTTTGTGTAAAATAAATAAACAAGTAAAAGTACATAGAAATATCAACCAAAACAGCTTATCCTGTGTTTAAAGGCATACACTCCAAGCTCATCTAAGGCATATGTATATTGCAGAGTATAGGTACCAGCACCTTTCTTTCATGCTGCCATATTTGACTGAGCTTTGGCTATTGAGTTTCTAGATGAATGTCCTCTATTCTACAAGACACCTGTCTCTTATCGGCCTCTTATCTGTGCGGATCGAAGCATGCAGACTCTTGAATTACCTATCCATACAATGTCATCTGTTTGTCCCCCAAGTTGGGGAAACCCGACCTTGAAATCAGAGGCGATTAAAATAAATAAATGAAACCCTAATCAAAAATGCTACTCTCCTCTGGACGGGTGTCAAGGATGATCCGTCCTGATTTGATTTTGTTTCCAAACCACATGATGCATTCGGACAATTAAAATTTTAGCAAGTCATTCGCTGATAGCCTGTGAGTGAGTGCTCCTGGGCCGCTCTGGGTTTTGGGTTTCTTGTGGTTCTGCCGACACTCTGAGGACAGGTTATTTATGTTGGCCCTCTGCCATGTCTGAAAAACCATGTTTCAGAGTGTGTCTGGAGTCCACAGCAAGGTCAAAAGTGTTCACGAGCAGAACAGACACTAAGCTTTAGGTTTAACACAGCAACTCAAACTGATGTGCTTTTCCACATAATATGCTAAACTAAATTTAAGGCCAACAACACAAGCACAAGCAATCTCTTATATTAATTACTACGAACACGTGGAGATGCCATGCACTATAGTCCAGGGGAATGGTCCCATCACATGAGCTGGGCTTTGCTGTGCAGACTTCCACTGAATGCCTGTCCCACTCTTCACCCCCATTTAACTCTATACTAGTGCAATTCTCTAAAATAATGTATTGAGCTGTTTCTGATTTAAATACATCTTTTCTCTAGAGCAACTATAGTGCTGACTTAAACTAAACTGCAGACAGCCCCTGTATGTTAACACTTGTGCACTGTTTTACAGCCAGTGAGGCATGGTACAGCACTGCAGAGATAAAGAAATGAAAGTGAATGAAATTCAGATGAAGTCATCAGGTATAATCTGCTGCTGCAGAGCAACACTGCTGGGACCAGTGATAGGGGATACAGCAATGCCCACAAATGGCTGTGCACCAACCCGTGACACCCCTCTTACCTTCAGGGGTCTGTGGAGAATAAAGTGACAGCACTGATGATGTCATCAAAGAGGGCCCTGGGATGATGTTTTAATACAATCTGTTGAAAAGGGTTTGCTAGTTTAATGTGAACTGAAGCATGCAACTCCTCTAGAGGCTGCAAAACTTTTGTCTGCTTAAAGTGAATGGTCTTATTTTAAATAATGAAATACGCATTGTGCTCAAGAGCTTCTGGCTGTCTATGAAGCAGACAGAGCCATTTCTGTGTTTGCATTACGCTCTATTGAGTTTTCCCCATTGAATTTTAATCTCACAAAAACAAAACAAAAAAATCTTCAGAATGAGGCCAAGAGGAAATGACTAATTAAGAACTTCACATGGATTTAGAAAGTCTTAACTTTGTTTAGTTTGTGTGTGCATCATACAGAGAATGCCTGTGAGGTTTTCAGAGTCTGTGCAAAAGGTTACGGCAAGCTCAAGTAACATTTTACCTAATTAGACATAATCTGTAAGTTCATGGCTGGGCTGTCATCATAAAGCATATCCTATTGCAAAGTATTACGTAACTGATTACTGTAACTGTCAGGTGAAGGGGGCGGGGGGGTACGCAGTTCCCAAGAAACAAAAAGACAACACTGCCATCAAGTGGTAGATTGTATACATTACATTGTGGATTCACCCCACTTCATGGATTTGATTTGATTTATTTTAGAGTAGTAAATGTTTCATCATCTACATCAAAATTACGAAATCAACAACTATACAACCAGAAAAGTGCCAGAGTCCTTGGTCAGTCTTGGACAGAAATAACAATACTAACTCTTACAACCCACGGGTGATGTAACAATGGGATAACAGCTAGCTATCACCATGCAAGTATAACACCATCTTCTTATCTCTCCGCTGTCTCTGATTATAGCTCCATGGCTCCCACAGGTAAATCACAGCACTCACCTCAGACACGTGTTCTTTTGTCATGGAGTTTCTGTTAGCTGGCGGTGCTAGTTAGCTTAGGCCACTTTTTTTTTTTTGCATACTCTTGGAGACTATAGCAACTTATTTTCAGTGTTATGCATTCACATGTCTGTTTGTTTTTTTGTAACAGAGTAGGCCGGATTGGATTGGAGCCGTCATAAGTGGCACACGTGGTTCAGTTTTATTTCATGAACGCAAGGGGGCACTGCAGTACCTAAAACAGCCTCTCTCTTCCTTCTGAGTGTTGGTGCTGAGTGCTCTACACTGTCCCCATGGTGTTTCACTGTCCAGCCATAGCACACCCAGGCCAACATTAGAAATACAAATTTGCTCTTAATGTTTTACCTGATAAAATAATTAGTTCAAAGCTGGTAAGTTTGTTAAGTCTTTGACCTCAGTTTTTGACCCTATGATGAGCAATGCCAGAAATGAATGTGAGTGTACCCTAAATCAATATAGGATTGAAGCATGAACAGAGTTTTAAAATTTATTGGGTCCATTGTGGTCACTTGCTATTTGGACAGCCACGGGATTTTTCGTTTTGTTTACACTAGCAGTTCGAAGCATTTTAAGATACTGATTTACTGATTTATGTATTTTGGGCAAGTAAAAGATGTACATTCTTTTACAATGAAATATAACATTAATGAAATAATAGCAGAGATAACAACAACAAAACAAAAAAATACAACATTGGCCCAAAAAGGAGTGGGAAACTTATTTAATCCCAGCTCCCTCTTCTACAAATACAGATACAAAACTATGTAACTTCCTTTAGTCACTGCTTATATTTTAGTGAAATCTGAAAAATCCCATATCATAGGCTATTTAAGAAATTATGAAACAAGCTCAATAAAAATTTGTTTGTGGGGAAGACAGGGAACACGAGGAGAGTTGTAGTACCACCTTAGCTAATCAGAGGCCAGACAGGACAACAATGCTCATATCAGTGTTGGCTAATTTCCTCCTGATCTCATGTTTGCATTTTCAGGGCTGTGAACAGGAATATGCAGGTTTCAGGAAATGAGGAAAAACTGATTTTGAGGCCCAAACTAAATTGTGTGGTATGGGATGGAAATGTTTCAGACAAGTCACAGAATATGTAGGGTGAAAGAGTAGTCTCTCTGGAAAAATGTGACAACTCTTCCATCTTCTTATTTCAAATCATATTGAGCTGAGTTAATCATCGGACCAGCTTGGGGAGGGTTTTAACGATCATCCCCCTACAACATAACAACAAAACAGTTTCCAAAGTGCTGCATAATACAAACAAAACATATCCAATAGAAATATAAAATAAAGCTCTATTTAATTAATTTAATTTAATCCACAAGCCCTCATTAAGACAATAAAACTAGACAAACCAAATAAAAAAATTAAATAGGTGTAGCCTACAAATGTAGGTATTTTGTGTAAAAAGTTGAGTTGTAGCTCAAAAACTGAATGAGCTTTGTGTTCACACAAAGTGTTACAACCATCCTCAGTCTCCTCTATTAAAGTGGTGTGAATGACTCTAGCTTTTCTTCAGTACAGGGGAAAAGAAATTGCATGCAGTGCAATGAGTGGTCCTATAATTTGACTGCAAACATCAATCAAATAAAACTCAACTGCATCCAAAATGCCTCTGCCAATTACCTTTATGTGTCCATCAAAGGTTCTCAATAGGCCTATGGTAACCTCTGCTATATGCTTATCTGAATATGTACCCACAAGTCCAATATGTATAATTAGGGCAGCAACAATTAATATCAGAATAAATAAATTAAATAATTGTAATAATAATTGTAATCATCTTGAAATGTTCTAACAAACTGGCAAGAAAAGAATAAACAAATTGTGATGATTTTCATGAATAAACTACCATCTAGCTTACTCTCATTAGCTTAAAGCACTGCTTTCATGTGTTTTAATTTAAGGTCCTCATTTAAAGTTAGGATGATAGATGTAAGCTATGAAGTATGAAGGACTGTGTGAGTAAAGCAAAGCACAATACCACAAGCACATTCTTTAGATCAGAAGTGAATGTCTTGAACAGTCGCATGTTTCTGGGATACATGGGCCCTAACAGTCCATCCAGGGTCCTCAATCAAACTGGACCTTTGTGTCAGCTTTAAGGGGACCCCAGAGGTTTCAAAAGCAGATCCAAATAGTCTGAATTATAATGAAGGCATAGGCTGTAGACCTACGTTTGCTTTATTCAGTTGCTTATCATGTTTAATTAGCCATGGTTTATTATTACTACCATAACTACTATTACTACAAACTAAAGTAACTCGACTCTTTCCGAACCAATCCGTTCTTTTTCTGTGTGGTCGGTTTCTATGGTGACAGTTTTATCTCTTCCGTAATGCGGCGTCCCTCGGGAGTCACGTGACCCTCTTCTCGTCTAATCACGTTGTCCAAACGAAGTGACGCAGGAAATTCAAAGTTGGCAGTCGAGGCAACGTTCTCTTGTGTACACTTTTCTGCACTGTGCCAAAGCTCAGGATTATTACTGATCTGTAGTTTTAATGTACTCCCTATAGGGCATTTATTGGCTGAGCGATGGACGGTAAATTCATCGGTCCAGGTCCTTACAGAGCGACGAAGCTGGTAAGTTTGTCCTTAGCCATTCACTAACCTGTAACGGAATGTTTATTACATTGACAGACGATATCAGCTGTAGATACATGGCACAGAGGCTGATGATCGTCCTATTGTTAGCAAAGGTTCATTTATATTTCGCTGTGAAACTCATTAGACACCAAGTGTTTTCCTGTTTGCTCTTTAAATGTGAATATCTCCTTTTCAACACAACAACTAACTCAGTTAAAGTCAAACTGGTTCCTTTCTGTTGTTTTGAAAGCATTACTTTGTGAGGCTACATAAAATAAGAACATTCACATTATGTTTATGTTCTGAATATGTTGAAAACAAAACACCCATTTGTACATTCAAATGTAAAATCACTGCTGTCTGAAAGCCCATTACACTGAAATAGCTGTAAAATAGAATAGGCTTTATGACTCACAGCCAGGCAGCCTTGTTTTATTTATTTCTGTAATACTTACTTTACCTTCACCTTGCAATCTACTCCCCAGGCATTTCCAAATGTGATAAATTTTATGGTTGTTCGGATTTTAATGCCTGACACAACAGCCTGGGAACATTGACTTGCAGGCACACAACTGTTTCTTAACCATTTCGTGGTGACTAACTGTGGAGAGAATGAATATTTTATGACAAAGTAAAAGATGATGGTTGATTATTCAAGCATAACCCAATAGCTCTCTCTTTCTTACAGTGGAATGAGACCATTAAGCTCTTCCGTAGTGGTATGCCACTGAGAAGGCACTGGGCACACTTCCGCTGCTATGATTGCAGTTTCACGGGATCTGAGGCTGTCGATTATTTGCACGACCTTCTGCGCCGCAATTACAATTTTGGACCAGAGGTGACTCGCTACCAAACACTGCAGTTACTAAAGAAGTTCTTAAAGGCTCATGTTATTGAAGATATTAAGGGACGTTATGGCACAGAGGACTTCGAGGACAGTGGTCACCTATTCAGGTACTAGTGTGATGAATTTTGAAATGCTGGTGTGAACAAGTACACTTTAAAGAGACATATACTCTATAAATATAGTATCATCCAAGACTGCTGATGCTTTTAGTTTGAACCATATGCATGGATTTCAGAGCGAGGACAAATTTGCATCGTTGCTACAATAATTAGCATGTCAAAAATATGATATATTTTAAATTGTGAAAGCTATGAATTAGGTATTTTATCCATAATGATAATCAAGCTACCAAAAATATTTAAAAATTGAGTATACTTACTTTTGGTTGCATTATAGGACCTATATTACACTATTTTCTGATCTATGTTAATATAATATTATTATATTAACATATATATAATATATTATATATTATATAAACATATTATATTATAATATGTTTCCTCATCAAAATATACCTGGAGTTTTTTTGTTTCACTGTCACATGCCAAGAGGAGCCAGCCTAGGTGACTCAGGCATTTGTTCTAGATGCTTCCTGGCTGCCTCTCAAGGGACGTGTTCTGGGCATGTCCCACTGGAAGGCAGGACATGTTGGTGGAGGAAGTGTTGGGGTCGAGAGAAGTATGGGAGTCCCAACTCAGACTGCTCTCCCCATGGCCTGGCTCTGAATAAGATGAAGAAGATGGATAGATGGATGACACATATTTAATACACAAACTTTGCATATTTATGCTGGGAAGTTCTCCTCTGTGTTTTTAAACTCCATACACCTTCACTTGCATCATTTGGATAATTGCCGCATTGGAATTTCCAATCTCCACTGACCAAAGTGTAAATGTTAGCTGTGAAAACTATCACTACATGACATCACAAGGTGGAACAGAGCATTCTGCTCTTTGGAAACACAGATAGTAATAAACCAAGTTTACTCAGACGTGTGAATGAAACAAAACACAACTCCAGGTATGTTTTTGAGGAGGTAACAACACGGCCAATATGGCTTAAACATGGTTTAAAGCTCACATGAATCCATTTAGTGTAATGTGGGACCTTTAACTTTTTCAAAATGTTTTACAGGCACAATTTGTTTGTAAAAGTTAAAGCTGCACTACGTAAGTTTTTTTGGCAGAGGGTTTGTTGTCTCGATGTTTCCATGTAGAAGTTATTGCGTTGCCTAGAATGTGCCACAGTTCGGCATTAAACTTGTTTGTCTTTATTAAATTACAGAAGTTTTTGTTGGTAAAAACACTTTGAAAGGCATACATTCCTACTGAGTGGTGTCACCTTTAACTTAGTCTGGTGGTGCCATGCTTTTTATTGGCAAAACAATAACATATCCATGGAAACAAGCAGGTGGCAGATGACCCACTTGAAAAGTTACAAAGTGCATATTTTGTGTATTTGTGTATATATCCCTATGAACATCTCACTATCAAACAAAACATCACCATTTCAAAGATTTTGTCCCATATGGATGATTTTATACAAAATTTACTGTCTTCCAGATTCCCCACCATGTCTCCACTGAAATCTATTCCTACAAGATCCCTGTTGCGGGACAGCAATGACCTGCCCAGACTCATTCGCTGGGATGATTATGAAGAACTGCCTCAAAAGGAAAACACTGCCCCGTCAAAGCCTGCTGTCTTGGTGAGATGATTTCCTCTCATTCCAGCTGTCATCTTTCAGAAAGTTTGTGAAGGCAGATAGGGATGAAAATATGATTCTCTTATGATGGATGCTTTTGCTTTTGTTCTATAAGAAAATAATGCGCATTTCTTTGGTTCAGACCTCTGATTTATGGAATAAGAGACACAGTGTTGCAATAGGAGATGTACACGAGTGCAAGCTTATAAGGAGAAAAGAGGTAACTCCTAAGCAAGTGGACCACATCTGGAAAACCATGACAATCGCACAGTATGTAAACCTTCTTGTCTTCATGTTTTATTAAAAGTCATATAGAAATAATTTGTATCTTTAAAATATAATTGCTATTTCAGCTTGCAGAGGGTCCTGGGACTGAAGACACTTGAAGGTGTTCTAAACCCAGAGCATGTGAATGGGAAACATATAGAGCACAATGTGACCAAAGTCAATAAGACAGGTATAGTGGTGTTGGATAACAAAGCAGGTAATGTGTTTTCCCCGTTGACTAACTGCTCTGTGCTTTTGCTATTACTGAACTAACCTGCATCCCGTTTCATATTTGCAGAGGATATGCCTTATTGGGTTGTGTCAGCAATGAAATGTCTTGCCAACTGTAAGTACTCTGTCTCAGGCAAAATGGCCCTTTTGGCATTTTTATCTCTTTGCTTAAGGCTGTATTTTCACTGCAAAGAATTCCTGAATTTGCTTCATTTTCAGGGCCCAATGGCAACGACTCCAAACAGCCTGTGTACCCGGGTTTTGAGAGAGATGTTTTGAAAACCGTAGCAGAATATTTTCAAAGGCTTAAACAACCTTTACTGACGTTTCATCTGTATGAAGTCTTTGTCAACATTCTGAGTGAGTGCTATTCTTGTATGTATCATCTTTCTGGTCCAGGGAGTGTTTAAGTACAATGCAATGTATTCTGCACTGTAAAGTGCCTTAGCATTTTCTGTACTTCTCTACATTAGCTTATCTGTACCAAAAAACCACACTAGCCAGACTTGATCCCCTGCTGACCTGCATGGATTGCGATCACAATCTAATCTCATCATTGCCATGTTAAACCATTCGGTTCTTATAAATGCCTGTTTTTTTACTTCCTATACTTATTTTGTATTTCTTATTATATTATTGTTTGACTGAACTATCCATTCACTATATGTTCCTTATATTACTTCAAGGGGCCAAAATGAAGAGATTTCAGTCCACCTATAAGTATGCCTAATTTATACACTGTTTATTCATGTCCCTAACTCAGTTTCCTCTATTGTGTTGCAGGTCTGTTGTCTGATCAGGAGGTTGCAACTGAGGCTCTTCAGATCAGCTGTTTGTTATTGCCTCCTCCAAACCGCAGACGGCTTCAGCTCTTACTGCGGCTCATGGCCCGCGTTTCCCAGAATCAACAACTGCCACTACTAAATGACACTATTCCCACTCGCACTCTGGTACACACCACTTCTGCTCTGTCTCAGAACAGCTTTATACTATTTGTCATACTGCGTTTCAATATAGAATAGAATAAACTTTATTTCACTGACGGAAATCTGTCTTGGACTCAGTGCAACATTGTAATACCTCAAAACTATTAGGTTTATCTGTGTTGAAAATTACATTATTATCGTGATGTTATGAGGGATGGTAGAGGAGAGAGGAAGGGACACATGATTACTGTATCAAAATTGGTATCAAGGATTATGCTTTTTCCTTATTGGTGTTGAAATCAAATTTTATATTTCTAGACAGTTCTTATCTTTAGCATGTTTAGCATTTAGCAACTTTTTACTACTATAGTCAAAGATTTTTTAACATTGCACAAATACACAGTACAGATTTTAAAGTTAATGGACCTGGCTTGAAAGTGCTTTTCTAACTAACAATAATTAGGCTGTCATAATGAGTTCCATCTTAATGCCTGGAGCACATTGCCTCTTCACTTTTCCTGTCTTAACACAGCTTTGGACTTTAATTTAATATCAAAGCATTAATCTTTCATATTCAATTTTATTTATTTTTTTCTCTATTTGGCAAATACGTATTTTACCCAATTAAAATGATTAAACGCTTGCCTTAAAGATTAAGCAAAGTCAGTTTAACAACGAATACTTTTAAATTTTAAATTAGTACCTTTGTGGTATCCATCACTATTCCATTTGACATTGCTGTAATATTGAATGGAAACAGTCACCACTTGAGTGACATGAGTTACTCACCTCTGTTTTTTATAAAAGCAATTTCCCTAAGAGTTTAATACAGATAATTGAGGCCTAGTGCTCTTTGTTGTTTGTTTGTGTTGACAGATGATACAGATGTTCTCACAGTGTGTTCTGGGATCTGTGGATGAGATGGACTTGGATGAACTATTGTCCACTAAACTGGTGACCTTTATGATGGAACACTACAACACCATTTTTCAAGTGCCACCCAAACTTCGCTCCCAGGTTGAGGAGCACCTGTCCCACCTACGCAGAGTGCAGGTTATTAAAGGGCACCCCACACAAGTAAAATGATTTATGTTGTTATATTAAACATCACTGCACCAACAGAGGTAGGATCATGTATGTTTTTCCTTTAATTAAAATTTCTTAGATTATAAAATACTCTTGAGATGCCCTACCATTATCATTAATTTGTAATACTGTAATGCCAGTAATATCAGCTGCAATATTTTAGAATTACTGTTATGATAGACAGAGTAATATATTCTGTATTATGTGTTTAATTCAATTTAAAGCGAGACTTGCATATTTTGAATCTTACCTATATGGGATTTTTAATTTGCATACCTGTGGCACTGAATAACACTTGTCATGGCCAGCTAAAATGCTTATGCCACTGTTAGTTTTTGTCTAGCTGTGTCAATTGGCATGAGTGGACATGTTCAAACTGACTGCAGAAAAGTGTGATGTCTAACACAGAGCTGATCCAATATCACAGAGTAGAATCACTGTTGAATAGTGCATTCTTGTTTTTGCTTTTTAAATTGTGTGTGAAACTGTTAAACAATGGAAATATAACAACACACGGCTTTTGTTTTTATGGAGCTTGTTAGCAGCAGTTGGGTGCTGAAATAGAAAATGTCTGTCTTGCTAGGCTGATGGACTAGAGCTTTTTCATGTTTGTCATCCAGTGTGCCTTTATGGGTAGTGGTGGATTACAGGACTGACTTCATCAGAGAGGGCAGAACGTACTGTACTGATATGTTAGAAATTTGGTCATTATAGATTTTCTTTTTTATTCAAAATTGATGTTTACTGTGTGTTATTTTAAGGCTTCATACACAATTATTACTCACCTACAGAATCAGTAGTTCTACTAAATTCTTTACTATTGTGAGGTAGAAGTGGCTCCCCAGCTCAAGCCTGGACCCCCATTCTAGACTACAGTTCTCTCTAGATTGCACAGTTCTGTAAATACTTATTTTCTGTGGGATCGGATTGGCCACACAATATCTAAAACAAGCTGCATTTCATATCAGTTCACACTCAGGTTACTGTTCATGTTGTGTAACTGTCACCTGTGTCTACTCTATACAATAACCGATAGTTTTGTCATTGTAGTGTATTACAGCTTATAGCTGCACTGGCTTTCAGAACAAGGTTTAAAGTAACCAAGTAGTCTATCTGTGCTTTTGTCTTTCTGCAGATCAAGTACGCTGGCACCGACACAGACTTCAGTGCCTCCCCAGCGTTTTGTAAACAGATCAGAAGAGTGGAGGCTGAGGAGCCCAGGGTGATTGGCACACAGACCCCCCTGCAGGAGCTGCTGGAGGGACTCATCGCAGACAAGGAGCTGCCCATGCGGGACAAAAGAAAGAGGCTCAAACAGGTGAGGAGGTGTTCAAAGCCAAGAAAGACTTGGATATCTGAACCTTGAAATGAAGCAAAGTTACTGAACTAACAGAAATGCTCCAAATATTTTCACTTTGTCACAATAGCTTTTGAATCCCGTACATGAGTAAATAGTCTGTAAGTGTATGCAGCTAGCACAGCTCAAATTGACTGTCTCACAATGTAATAACCTTTACAGAGAGTTAATATGGAAGTCCATAGCTCACTGAGTTGAATCCTGTCTCCAAAGCTCTTCACCTCAAAGTGATGTTTTGCAAAAAAGCTTTTGTGTAATTCAGATACATTTTCTCTTTTGACAGTTCCAGAAGTCTTATCCGGAGATCTACCAAAATCGATTCCCCACCCAGGAGAGCAAAGCTGCTGTTATACCTGAGAAAGCCCCTAGAATTAAACCACATCAGATGCTCTTCAACTTCAAAAAATCATTCCAGCCCTTTCAAAGGAGCTGGAGTTTCAGAGCATAGAGCCTCTGCTGTAAACGAAATAAATATATACTGTTACTGTCATGTCAGCAATCTGACTATGAGTGAACTGGTCACCACGTGTTTAGGAGGAATTACATGAAAATTTAAACTAATCAACTCAAAGCAATAATAATATACATATATGTAGCTTGGAAACTTGAAAAATAATGAACCACTAATGTGTTATAGTAATATTTTCCCTTTAAGAGTTATTTGTAGCTAGCATGAATACATTTCATGAATTTGAAGAGGTAACATAATGTCTTATCTGTGGTAGAAGCATACCATACTCTTAATGTGTATGTTCATTTCATAATATGTATTATTTTTCTCTATTATGTGTAATATGATACATTTTCATTGACACAATTGTCATGACACATAAACAAACCAGAGCACTGCATATCCCCAAATCTATTTCAAGTGGGTACATTGTCAATACTGTATTATACATTTATTTGTAATTTGTGGCTTTGGTCACAGAACATTTTCTTGTTGATCAAAGAGTTTTTTTACTGGATGATTTTGGCAGCTTGCAGTATGATTTAGCACTATTTTTTTTGTAAGAAACTACTCAATAATGAACATATCAAGGCATATGGGATTGTCAGTTTGTTTGTTTGTTTGTTTTTTCAAAAAGTGTGGTACTTAATTTCTGATCTGAAATTTTCACTACAAAAACTTTATATTGTATTTTCTTAAATCCAACAGCACTGATATTTCCTTTATACCTATTGGTATTGATTGGCCCTATGTCTGCTGTCTATGCTCGGCTGTCTTATTATGTTTTACTCTTTCAGTAGTATTCGTCTTTGATTCTTTTTGGTGTATTATTCATGTTTTCACTGTTGTCTCATCTGATTCTAATGTGTGTCATTCATTGTTGAATGGGTCAACCAATCAACTTTTATTATTTTCTACAATTATTAAGAAGTTGTTTTTAATCCAATGCTGGAATGCCTGTTACTGTAACTTAAATTGCTGGATTTTTAAAAATAATGATGCTGGTAGTATACATTTCGTGAATAGATTTCTTTGCATACTTCAAAAAGGGATGAAATGTGGCATTTAACAGGACCCTTGAGCAATTACTGGTGTAACTGATGTGGGTCACTACTGTAGAACAGTAATAAAACAGTTATCGGTTTACCTGCTTTGTTTTTTGTGACTCATATATTCTGCTGATGCCTGTGTAGTAAGTTTGACCAAGGCTAAGTACATGCACATATAATCTTCAGGATTAGTTCACCACCTGCCCACAAAGCAGCTTTAGGAATCTTGATGACACTTTGTATGTTTCCTGATCATTTGTGAGATAGGTGGTGTAGAGAAGTCAAACATTATACTTAGATATAATATTAGGAACAATCAAATAAATTTTATCATTATAAATTATATTATTTAAAGCTAAACTACTTTTGACAAATAGTAAGTAAGAAATTGTTGGTTGAGGTATTTTCTTCCAATAAAAAAAAAAAAATAAATATATAATATATATATATAATATATATATATATATATATATATATATATATTATATATATATATATATATATATATATATATATATATATATATATATTACAAGTAAAGCAAACTAATCCACCAACTGTACGTGTACCCATGAGTATTAATTAGACGCCATCAAAACCATGTGGCTTCATCCTTAATTTAACCAGCAGGTGGCGCCAGTGTTCGGCATTACTGTTGTGTTTCTAAAGGGTGAGAAGTTTTGATGCCACTCACGGAGCTCAATTCCCCGCAGTCAGACGGTGCTTTATCTGAGACAGGATCTTTTGGGGGCCCTTAATTAAGATAAATTATTCTCTACTCAAATGACTAACACTAGTTGTAGTTTCTGAGCCAATCTCAGTTTTGCAGACAGAATTTTCAGGGGGAAAAAATGGCGCAGACAGAAAAATGATACAGTATTTTTCACCGATGGATTTTGAATGCTGTATTTATCGATTTTTAGATGGAATAAAATAGCGGGCAAACTTTGAGGTGACGGTCAAAGGGACATGTAGCGTGTCAAATTTTATAATCCACACTAAATCAGTAGTTTTAGTAGGCAAAGCTAATAGCAGCAGGCCTATGTCATAAACCCACATTTATCCTATAATTTTATAATTGTATTTTGATGAAAACTCCCTGCAAGTGTGGGCCTTAGATGAGGCACAGACTGGACAATGACTAGTGATAATAGAGCTGACACAGACATACTGTAAACAATTTTATCAGCAAAATAAAAGTGAAAGTAAAAATTCTGAGCTGCAATAAATTGTATAGACCTCACAAATGTGATTTATGGCAGCACTTCTCCAACCTGAGGTTGTATACTGTTGCTGTGTCGTTGGGCAAGACACCCACTTTGCCTTCATTGTCGGTGTAAATTGAGCATGTGTTTGTGAGAGATGCAGATCTGCACAGCAAGTTCAAAAGAGTTAAATTCACGGTGTTAGTGTTGTGAGTAAAGTGAAGAAAATCCAGATATGTTTCAACATAGTAAAGACTTATTTCAACTATCACAGTGCTGTAGAGTAAAATAAGTAGTTGACATAAAATGAGTAGTTGTTGATTCACAGTATTAACGACAAACACTTAGAAAGTGTCTATTTTGAATGTTACACTACATCAGTTTTGGACTTTTGTAACGTTTCCAGCGGGAGAGCTGCAGTCCAAAAGAGAAGCCACATTTCACCGTTCGAAGCTAAGCTAACATCTTGTTTTTCAGCAGAACCTGAACTCAACGAGCCTCAAGTCCAACCACCTGAGCTCTCACAGGCCCCGGGTCAGATTACTTTACCTTTTTAGGACTCTCTGCAGTTAACTTAATTCATAAAAATACTAAATATATTTGGTCTAATGCTAGTAGTAGTAAGCTAACTAACTTAGCTGTGACAGTCAACGTTACCGTCATTGATGTTCATGAAACTTGGGTAAAATAGCCACAAATTGTACTAAATTAAGAGTAACTTTACTTCAAAAAGTCTAAGTAAAAAGTGGAAGTCCAAAAAATGTGTTGAGTAGCTAAGAGTAAAAGTATTCGGGGAAACTACTCCTCAAGTAAGTTAGAAGTAACTGGATGAAACTTCTGATTTGTCATTTAAAGTTAATGCAATTTCGAGGATGAAACATGAAATAGTACTCACGTCTGCTATTTTCACAGTGGGAAGAAAGTACAATATCTATAAACAGTGACTCAAGTAAACGTATTAGGTCATCATTGTAACGCTAGTGGCACGTGCCCTACACTCTGTATGTAACGCGATGATATAGAACAGTTATGAGCTATTTATGCACAATTTCAAGTGATCAATACAAAAATGTTGGTGGTAAAATAATGTGTCCTACGTTTATTTCATTGTTGTCACCTGTTGTCCGGGTTTTACATGTTTTTTTCCATGGTTGTACATGGTTTTACAGTGCCTCTCTCCTCAAATGAAATGTAAAGTTAAATCAAAACAAGTTTATATCTCATATGGCAACGCACAGACATTCCACGGTTGCCAGTAGTTGCATATATAAACCCCAGTTTTGGAATTTTCTGCCATTCTCCGTCTGCGCTTCCAGAGGGAAGATTTCACCGGCCGAAGCTAAGCTAACAGCTAATAGCGTTTGTTTTTCAGCAGAACCTGAACTCAACAAGCCTCAAGTCCAACCACTTGAGCTCTCACTTGCCCCGGGTCAGATTACTTTACCTTTTTAGGACTCTCTGCAGTTAACTTAATTCATAAAAATTTAAAAATACTAAATATATTTGGTCTAATGCGAGTAGTAGTAAGCTAGCTAACTTAGCTTTGACAGTTAATGTTGCCATCACTGATGTCCTTCAAAATTGGGTAAAATAGCCTCAAATTGTACTAAATTAAGAGTAACGTTACTTCAAAAAAAAAAAAAAAATTCTCAAGTCTAAGTAAAAAGTAGAAGTCCAAAAAATGTGTTGAGTAGCTAAGAGTAAAAGTATTCGGGGAAACTACTCTTCAAGTAAGTTAGAAGTAACTGGATGAAACATCTGATTTGTCATTTAAAGTAAATGCAATTTCGAGGATGAAACATGAAATAGTACTCATGTCTGCTATTTTCACAGTGGGAAGAAAGTACAATATCTGTAAATAGTGACTCAAATAATGTATTAGGTCATAATACATTACGTCATTGTAATGCTAGTGGCACATGCCCTACACTGTATATGTAACGCGATGATTTAGAACAGTTATGAGCTATTTATGAGATATTTCTACACAATTTCAAGTGGTAAATACAAAAAATGTTCGTGGTAAAATAATGTATCCTACATTTATTTGATTGTTGTCACCTGTTGTCCGGGTTTTACATGTTTTTTTCCTTGGTTGTACATGGTTTTACAGCGCCTCTCTCCTCAAATGAAATGTAAAGTTAAATCAAAACAAGTTTATATCTCTTATGGCAATGCACAGACATTCCACGGTTGCCAGTAGTTGCATATATACTGAAGTGAACCTGCATACTTTTGTGTGGTGTGTTGAGGTAGGATATTGTATCAAGTGGAGAATTATTAAAATGATTTGAATCAAAAGGTTAGTAGTATTCTGTAAAAATAAAATATATTAAAGTATGACCCAATACAATGTCTTAACATGCTATTGACCTTTAGTCAAAAAGAGTAATGATACATTCTTTTTTTTTTTTTTTTTTGTATTTTCTTTAGGGTGAGTGTCTTGCTGCTGGTTCACATGCATCCCCAGGTCCTAAAGGCTACAGTGGAAAGATGAAGGCTCAAGCCATTAACCATCTCGTCAGAGATTTGCAGGTATGTCATGAAATGGTTAAATGTGGAACTGAAATGTAACCTCACCAATAATTTCGTAACTGACTAATTTAATTTTATATATGTGCTAAGTAGTTGTAATTTTTTCCTAAATCTCATTCTATTTTCGTGATTAATGGCATTTATGTGTTTTGTTTCTTTTGGGTCTTGCATTTGAAAATAATATTTTCTAAGGGGCTACATTTTTTTCAAATTACCCTTCAAGTTATTTTTTTTTTAATGGTTCCTGTATACAAAATAATGCAGTTCATGCAACAGAATAACCTGCTTAATAGGAACAAACAAATAATAATGATATATGCACCATAATATGTTTACTATATATTTACGTTTTAATTTTTATTCAGGGATCATTTAATATTGCATAGCCCGTTTTGCCAGGTGGTTACTTGAATATGTTATATTTATTCTGTTCCATATTTTACTTTACAGATCGGTATGGACACATTTCTTGCTGGTTGAGCTTGGACGGCCTTTCTACCTGTGACTGAAGTGGAAAGGACAAAGGTTTTTTATGTCATCATTGACCTGGCTGAATTTGGTGAACACTTCAAGGTACTTGGTCCTCAGACTCTCACAAACTTTACTACTAAACTGTCTACAACATGGACTTTGGATGTGTCAAAAGAAACCCAAAGAGTGAAAGACTGACTCTTGAGGTAAAAAGTTTCTGCAATGTTAATGTTTCATAATGAGCAGAACTGCCTCTATTGTGAACATTGTTATGTTTATATCATGGAGAGAAGATCTTGTCAGACATGCTCCTCTCATTTTTGGAGATGAGCATGCCTGAATTCCATTCAAAACAAGATCTTGATTCATCCATTGACTGCTTGCATTGAAAAATCAACTTTAAAAAAATAAATGACAATCATTATGACCAACTGTTGAGGGCACAGAGACTTCCTGCTGTCAGTTGGATTTTGCAAAAATAGTATTGTCATAGAGGGATTAAAAGGGATTATGAACTAGAATGACCACAGCATTTACACTGTATTTAGTGAAGAAAGAGTTACTACTGAATAGTGTAACATGAAGAACACTCTACACTATTTCTACTTCATAAAGTGTTAACTTTAAAGTGTTAAAACATGGCAATATAGAGTTATTAGTTTTTCCTCTATACACTAGTGTCAGTATACGAGTTGAATTAACACTCAAATTTGCTGTGTATGTATGTTCATTTAGGATACATGAGCTGTCTCAAATTATAAACACATTTTAAAAATCAATCATTTGTATTCTCACACCAAGTATACGCGTCACTTTAATATCAATCTCCACCTTTGCTTTTGTTGAGGGAACAAGTTCAGATTTCTTTGGATGGAGATAACAACTG